CTAAAAAACTCAGCAGAAAATGTTTTTGCCTTCGTGTGCATGTAAATACACGCATACATACATACAAAAAGAACGCAGCAATCGCGCGTGATTACCCATACAAACGCAACTTACCGTTACTTCATTTAACTCAAGCAAACGATCAGTGTTTGACTTGAGGAAACGAAAACAGAAACAACTGTCTCCCTCAGAGCGCGAGAGAGCTAAGCCAGACGCGACAAAAACAGTTTCTGTCTGAGTTTTTTTGACTGTATCAGTGAAAGACACTTTTTTGCAGACAACGAAAAAGTGTTAACAGTTATTTGCGAGCTATGATTTTTACAAAAATTTGGATTAATCAGGTACCACATTTTTAAAAAACACTCAGGTACCACATTTTTAAAAAACATTCATTCTGATAGGTAAACCCACGATCATTGAATCAAAACATGTACTTAAACATAAGCGCGCCTCTTCAATCAAAGCCCAAAATCGTTCACACCATTGTAAGTTGAGGGAGGCACACGCCAAATGCTCATCTCCCATGCATACATACAAACACATACACACACGCACATGTAAAGGCACACAGGCATACAAGTGCTTCTACAAGTTATATCCCAAAATTGTGAGCAGCGCCTCCCATGCGTACACACAATCAAATGTATATACATAAATACATACATTCATATGTATGTGAGCACTTCACAAGATCGACCAAATGCATATGCTGGGATTTAAAATTGCTACAGGTAGAAAGAGCTTCGCTCACAGGCATACAAATGTTCATAGTACATGCAGCATACTGTAAGTGTGTGTGTGCATGCTCGTCGTGAAAAAATTTTCATTATGCGCACCAACGCTTTCATACCCTTCCCACAAATAATAACGAAAACGCATGGCAAACGGTTTGAAAAGTTCGGTATACTCTTCACACAGAAGGGAAAGCATGGGCTCTCGCTGCGAAGAAATTTCAATTTGTGAGCGCTGCTTGTGCTCACATGCATACATACATATACATATTTGAGAGAGCAGAGAGCATCGTGAGAGAGAGAGAGCAAGGGAAACATTGAGATCAGAGGGATCTTTTGTTCAACAGTCGACCATCTCGGTCGAGCGCATGAAGCGAAATGATTGTGCTTTCGTATATTTTCGTAGCCCGAACCCAAAAAGTGAAGAGCCGAGCAAATACGAAGTGTCTGGGAGATAACTCCCGAAAAAAAGTGTGCAAAACGCTTTACACTACTTGTCCGGTCTATGTGTTCTCTGGTTAGTGTGTGTACCCTGCACAGTACGAGTTTGCTTCATTTTTTTCGATAAATCGCCCGATAACTTTTTTATCGAGAATAATCGAAAAATTGATTTTGTTTTTTTTTAGCCTAATTTAAACACTCTTAGACCTGGAGTCTTTAAATTTGCGTTGTATATAAAGTTAATAGATACAAAGATTTTGTATTTTACAGATTTTTGATACCACGCCCCTTTCGCCCCCAATTTGTAATTCAATTGTCAAGTTCTAGAGACTTATGGTTTGGAATGCACACACATTTTAACCATATGATTACGCTCTGAAAGTTTCATTAAGATTCTATGTCTACAAAAGAAATTATTCAACAAATAAATTCTCATATTGCCCACATTGCAGCGCAGCCCAAACGCAGCCGCTGCTTACTGCACAGTTAGCAGAGCGCGTGCTTATAAGTGCATGTGTATGTATGTGTGCATAAAAGAAGTCCAGAATGATTAGAATATCAACTTGGAGGGTTCATTCCTAGTCAGGGTATCTCCTAGTCGAGCAGTCTCGACTAGAGCCTTCTTACTTGTTTTAATGTAGATTTATATGTACTTTATGTAATTTCGATTTTTGTTAAAATTTACCCCACACCCCTAATTTAGTAAAAGGCGTATTTCTAATACTAGAGAAAAAGCAAGAAATAAACGATCAGCTGATCAACTATCCAAATTTGAAGCTTCTAGCTTTTATACTTTAGGAGATATAAACTTTTGCGGTTTGCCACGCCCCCTGTGGGCGGACATATATCCGACAAAGCTTTTTGGTCTTAGGCGATCAGCCCCAGTATAGTATAGCAAATATTAAAAAAAAAAAAACACTATATCTTCAGGTCCGATTTGCCACGCCCCTAATGGGCGTAGAGTTATAATTTTGTCTTTAGACTTTATAGAATCATAAAATTAGCTGAAATGCATTTTGCAATTATATATTATAAATAAAAATTATATTAATATGCATGGTAATAACATAATTAAGATATACGATTGTAGCGTTCAAATAAACCACATCTCGATTGTAAACACACTATCAGATTATACCCAAACTATCTATGTAACAAATAATATAACAAAACAAGTAAGAAAACTCTAGTCGAGAGTGCTTGACTAGATACTACCACTAACCAGAGAACACATAGACTAGACAACTAGTGGAAAGCTTTTTGCACGCTTTTTCTGAAGCCCTAACACCCCAGACAGCTTTGGACTCGCTCGGCTCCTTAGTTTTATGTTCGAGCTACGAAAAAATACGAACGCACAATCATTTCGCATCATGCGCTCGACGGAGATGGTCAAATTTTGAACAAAAGAACCCTCTATGCTCAATGTTTCCCTTGCTCTCTCTCTCTCTCTCGATGCTCTCTGCTCTCTCGAATGTGTATATGTATGTATGCATGTGAGCACAAGGAGCAGCTCACGAAAATTGAAATTTCGTCGCAGCAGGAACCCATGCCTTCCCTTCTGTGTGAAGAGTATACCGAACTTTGCAAGCCGTTTGCCATGCTCGTGCAGATTGTTTGCGTTTTCGTTATTATTTGTGGGAAGGGTATGAAAGCGTTGGTGCTCATAATGAAAATGCTTTCGCGACGAGCGTGCACGCACACACTCTCCCTTGCTACATGTACTATGAGCATTTGTATGCCTGTGTGCGAGGCTCTTGCTGCCTGTAGCAATTTTAAAGCCCAGCATTTGCATTAGGTCGATCTTGTGAACTGCTCACACTTACATACATATGTTTGGTTGTGTGTACGCAGGGGCCGCGATGCTCACAAATGATGGGGTAATCATTGTAGAAGCATTTGTTTGCCTTTATATGTATGTGCGTATGTTTGTGTATGTTTATGTGTGTATGCATGCGACATGAGCATTGACGTGTGCCTACGACAACATAGAATTGTGTAAACGATTTTGGGTTTTAAAGCTGTCTGGGGTGTTAAAGCCTCAAAAAAAGCGTACAAAAAGCTTTCCACTAGTTGTCTAGTCTATGTGTTCTCTGGTTAGTGATACTACCCTGAACCCAACTAATAACAAGTAAAAAGACCCTAGTCGAGACTGCTCGACTAGGAGATACCGTGAACCCTCTAATCTAATGTTCTAATCAGTCTGCACTTCTTTTCAACACACATACATACACACGCACGTATTAGAACGCGCTCTGCTAACTGCGCAGTAAGCAGCGAATGCGCTTACTCTGCGCTGTAGTGTGGGCAACATTGGAGTAATAGCTATTTCAATAATTTTTCTCGTCTTTCAGCTTACACAAGAAACACGCACACACACACACACACACACGCACGCACGCACACACAGGCATACATACACACACACACATATACACACACACATACACAAACACATACACACACAAGCATAAACAGGCATGGGTTGCAGTGTGCGCTTACTATGAGACCTTAATTGCTTAATAACTTTTTTTGTGGACATACGATCTTCATGAAACTTTTAGATTATGATTATAACATGGATATGCATGTATTTGTCAAAGCAAAAAGTCTCTAGTATATGAAATACGCCTTTTATAAAAGTGAGGGTGAGGGGGTGAATATAAAGGTGGGGGGTAAATTTTAACAAAAACCGAAATTGTATAAATTACATATAAGCATACATTAAAAATTTGGAGACTCTAGCAATAAAGGTGTAGAAGATATAATTTTATAACTGGTTTTCGATAAGGGATTTTGTCGATAAAAAAAGATCGGGATGAGTTATTGATTTTTAATGATAAACTTGATATTCGCGCTGTAATCACGGACATTTAAAAAAAATTGAAGTCTCTAGCTCTGAAATCTCTGAAATCGACACGTTCATACATACGGACAGACGGACGGACAGTCGGACAGACAGACGGACAGGGCCAAATCGACTCAGCTCATCACCCTGATCAAGAATATATATACTTTGTGGGGTCTGCCACGCCTCCTTCTGCCTGTTACATACATTTCAACAAAACCATTATACTCTGATTTCCCATTGAAAATGGGTTCAAGGTATAAAATGTTTATTTCTTAATAACTTATAACGGAGTACAATTATCTTACGCGATGATTGATCTGAATTGAAACTGAACTGAACTGGTGATTGAGAATTTATTTATTTATATCGATGGTGGCGTGATTTTAGGGAAGCCGAGCGAATCCAAATCTGTCTGGGGTGTTAAGGCCTCAGAAAAAGCGTGCGAAAAGCTGTCCACTAGTTGTCTAGTCTATGTGTTCTCTGGTTAGTGACCATACGCAGTACGAGTTTATTTTTTCTCATTCGATAACTTTTTTATCGAGAATAATCGAAAAATTTATTTTGATTTTTTCAGTCCAATTTGAACATTTTCAGACCCGGAGTCTTCAAATTTGCGTTGTACATATATAAAATTAATGGATACAAAGATTTTGTAATTTACAGATTTTGGATACCACGCCCCCTTCGCCCCCAATTTGTAAAAAACGCATTTCAAGTACTAGAGACTTATGCTTTGGAATGTACACACATTTTATATGATTATGCTCTGAAAGTTTCATTAAGATTGTGTGTCTACAAGAGAAATTGTTCAACAAATACATTTTACTGCGCAGTTAGCAGAGCGTAGGCTATGCGTGCGTGTGGATGCATGTGTATGTATGTATGTGTGCATAAAAGAAGTGCAGAATGATTAGAATATCAGCTAGTCGAGCAGTCTCGACTGGAGCCTTATTACTTGTTTTATAATGAATTGGCATGTGTTTCGTCGTGCTCTGAGGCATTTATTTTTAGTTCCAAAACGAATAAGTACAAAAATATCGGCATACAGCATTAACAAAATAGCTAACATTAATATTTAAGCAATAGGGTACAAAATATTTTTTTCTTATTCATATGAAAAATTTCGCACGGTTCTTACGTTAATTTTACAATCGATTGGAATTTTATACCGTTCGATACGCATTTGCATACTCTACAGCATCATGTAACGTGGGGAAAATTTCAAAAGGACCTTCGCTTAGAGCCATGCTGTGTACCAACGTGTCGTAAACGCGATCCATAGGGCTAGACAACAGCAAACGAGAACCAAACGTTTTTAACTCATTGCTAACATCAGTCAACATGCTGCAGCCGGCAACATCGATGTGGCCCAACATGGAGAAATCCAGAATTAAAAATTTAAGCGTATTGGTTTCCTTAACATTTTCAGTTACAGAGACATATTTTGTCGACGATTTTCTATTTTGGTTGTTTTTTGTCTTTTGCTTAATTTTATCAAGTCCTACTACAGAATAAAGCGCACGACGAAAAAACAACCTTGTAGCAAAATTAAGAGAACCGTAGTACCGAAAGATGCGTGTTTGTGGGACTTGCATTACATTGCGATGTTGGTTCACATCCATATAGATACCAGGCGATTCAGGCATATAGCCCAGCAAACAATAATAAGGCTTCAACCCCTTAATATACAATGCTAATAACGACACGCAAACGCCAATAAGAAGCCTAAAAAGGAAAGATAAAAAAATCATTACCAAAATAACAAAAATACTAGGAAACTTACCCGATATCAATGTCTATGAGCACTACACACAAGAATGTAGATATCCAGCTGAATATTTCTAGTTTGCCTTGCTTTGAAAATTTTTTCAGCTGTTTAATCTGCATAAACATAGGTTTTAATGCTACAATTATGACGCCAGCCAAAACGCACTACAAAATACATATCTACAATAAGATGCGAGTTAATTATAATTGAATATAGGTACCCTTGGTAAATCGCTGAAGAACGGCCCGATCCACAGTAATGTAACAACCACAAGTGTGGCAGACACCAAAGAAGCTATTTGGGAGACACCACCTGTTTGGTCCTGTATAACCGATCGCGATAAAGAGCAGGCTAAGGGTATGCAAGAAAAACAGCTACCGACAGCATTACCTAAGCCCATAGCAAAGAGTTCCTGATTGGCGCGAACCTCATAACCATGCTTTTTGGCAAACGTCAAGCCCATAGACATGATAATGGAATATGTGACTATTGCAATGGCTATTGCATCGACTGCAACTAAGGGGATCAAATTGAGGCGTGGTAGTGTAGCACTTGGTAATCCTTTTGGTATTATACCAACCAACTCCACATTAAAGTCATCGTGTAAATGACAAAATTTGGAGATCAATGTTCCACCAATCACAGCTATTAGTTCTCCTGGCAAAGGGAACCGGCATCGTTGATTTAAATACGGCTTTATAAACTCATTGCAAACAGTCATGAAAATAATTACTCCCACGCAGAAGCTGAAGTTAACAAGGTTCGTATTTGTCAGGCCCTTAGTTACATCGATCAGAGTGTAAATAATTTTAAATGCTCCTTTATGGCGGTCTATTCTTATTCCTACTACGTCTTTTAGTTGTGCGGCTACCACATGACACGCTGCAGCTGTGGTAAAACCATTTACTAGTGGCTCACTTAGCAATGAAGCAAGCGTTCCCAGTCTGAAAAAGGACATAAGCAACTGAAAAGAAAGATTGATAAAATTATAAAGTAAATTCATAAAATATAATATGAATAGGGATGCAAGCAGAAACACTCATTGTCAGCAGTGTGGGCTTGCTATGGAAATTCTATTGTTTAATAACTTTTCTTGTTCATGAACTAAGTTCATGAGACTTTCAAGTCGTTAATATAACATTAAAGTGCGTGTATATGCCAAAGCAGAAGTCTCTAGTATTTAAATACGTCTTTTACAAAGGTGAGGGTGAGGGGTGGATATAAGAGTGGGAGCTAAATTACAACAAAAATCGAAATTATATAAAATACATATACGTATACATTTAAAATTTGGAGACACTACCTTAAAAGATGTAGGAGATATAAATTTATTACTGGTTTTCGATAATGTTTTTGATCAATAACAAAATAACGGGGCAATTTACCGATACTTAAAGCAAAACTCGATATGCGCGTGCTATACACGGACCTAGGAAAAAGTTTCAAGTCCCTAGCTCTTATATCTTTTGAGGTCGACGCGTTCAAACCTACGGACAGACGGACAGACGGACGGACGGACAGACGGACAGACGGACAGAGCAAAATCAACTCAGCTCGTCGCCCTAATACAAAGGTGAGGGGGTGGATATAAGGGTGGGGGGTAAATTACAACATTAACCGAAATTGTATAAAATACACAAAAGTCAACATTTCAAATTTGAAAGCTCTATCTCTAAAGGTACATACATACGTACAGACAGACGGACGGACAGACAGACGGACAGGGCCAAATCGACTTAGCTCGTCGCCCTGATCAAGAATATATATACTCTGTGGGGTCTGCCACGCCTCCTTCTGCCTGTTACATACATTTAACAAAACCATTATACCCTGATTTCCCATTGAAAATGGGTTCAGGGTATAAAAAGAAAACTTGACGAACCTGGCAAAATGCAATTGCCTTAGAAATTGATAAATATTATGCCACACGCTATAATTCAAGCTTGTCAATCTTAGATTTTTGGCAGGAGGCAACGGACCTTAAATTGTGGCAAAAATATTTTATGTATTCCGGTAAGCTTTGCAACAGCGAGCGAGTATTCTCCTCTTCTGGAAAAATTTTAAACGAAAGGCAAATATCATTGTAATTTTTAAGAATTAAATTGTATTTTGTAGTGCGTTCTGAGATCGACGCGTTCAAACCTACGGACAGACGGATAGACGGACGGACGGACAGAGGGACAGAGCTAAATCAACTCAGCTCGTCGCCCTAATCAAGAATATATATACTTTATGGGGTCTGCGACGCCTCCTTCTGCCTGTTACATACATTTAACAAAACCATCATACCCTGATTTCCCATTGAAAATCGGTTTAGGGTATAAAAAGAGGAAAGTAGTGATGAAGTTTAAATATAAACGTGTTGTCTGAACCATCTATTATTAGAGACTATTAATCGTTTTTGTTCTTTTCTGCTCCATTTCGAAAAAAAAAATAACAATTTTGTAGTAAAATATGAGTTTCAGCGCTGAGAATTTGTAGACGTATGGTCAAACGAAAATCGCCAAGTAGAGCTACAAAATTTTTATCGTTGAGAAAATGAATAACAATATGAACGAAAGTGTGGAAAACATTATTTCTGCTCAATTTGTCAAATTTAATAATGAATTTATTAAATATATTTGCTAGAAACTAGCCGGAATCTATAAAAATTAAAAATAATTCATTAATGGGTAGAATATTGAGAAACTTAAAAGAGCCGAAGTCCTCGCGAAATAAAATTCTCCATAAAGAAGCTAATTATGAAAAAGCTGGCACTCAAGTGCAGATAAAATTTGCTTCTCTTGCAAGACAAGAGGAACACACTATTTGCTATCTTTTCTGAGCCTTATATAAATAGGTAAAATTTTAGAGCGTTCTGCGCTCGAATATTGAAATATACATGAACAAGTAAGAAAGAAGACTGCTCGACTAGGAGATATTCTGATATTCTAATCACTCTGCACTTCTTTTCGGCACACATACATACACACGCGTGTACTTGAACGCGCTCTGCTAACTGCGCAATGAGCAGCGACTGCGCTTGGGCTGCGCTGCAGTGTGGGCAACATTATAAGAATTAATTTGTTGAATAATTTAATTTCTAGACGTACAATCTTAATGAAACTTTCAGAACGTAATCATATTGTTCAAATGCATGTGCATTCCAAAGCACACGTCTCCAGTACTTGAAATACAAAGGTGAGGGGGTGGATATAAGTATAAGTGGGGGGGTAAATTACAACATTAACCGAAATTGTATAAAATACACAAAAGTCTACATTTCAAATTCAAATATAATTAAATAGCTAGCTTTCAATTAGGTTTTTAGCCGATAATAAAATATCGGGAGTAGTTATCGATATTTAGAGAAAAACTTGATATACACGGACCTAGGAAAAAAATTTCATGTCTCTAGCTCTTATAACTTCTGAGATCGACGCGTTCATACATACGGACGGACGGACGGAGAGGGCCAAATTGTGAATTGGGGCATAGCTGGCCGGACTGGCAAATAAAATACCCCCATCGGGTTGGTGACATTATTGTTAAACTCTGAACCCATTGAAAATGGGAAATCAGTGAATCAGTGGTTTTGTTGAAATGTATGTAACGGGCAGGAGGCGTGGCAGACCCCACAAAGTATATATATTCTTGATCAGCGCGACGAGCTGAGTCGATATAGCCCTGTTCGTCCGTCCGCATGAGTGAGTCGATCTCAGAAGCTAGAACGCTGAAATTTGGCATGCATACTCGTGTGTACCATACGGAGTACGAGCTCGCTTTTTTTTTCGATAAATAATCCGATAACTTTTTTATCGAGAATAATCGAAAAATTGATTTTGTTTTTTGAGCCTCATTGGAATATTATTAGACCTGGAGATTATTTGTGTATATACATATGATGAATACAAACATTTTGTAATTTACAGATTTTGGTTACCACGCCCCCTTCGCCAGGAATTTAAAAAACGCATTTCAAGTACTAGAGACTTGTGCTTTGGAATGTACATACATTTGAACATTATGATTACGTTCTGAAAGTTTTATTATTACTTATTATTATTTATTAGTCATATGCACACATAACTACGTATATGGACGAGGTCTTCTAACTGCGCAGCTACCACAAATGCGATTCTGTATTTTCCAAAATTCAAGTAATTAGTACTATCACTAACCACAGAACACATAAACCGGACACGTAGTGTAAAGCGTTTTGCACACTTTTTTTTCGAGCGTTGCGTCCCATACAACTTCGTATTTGCTTTTGGGTTCGGGCTACGAAAATATACAAAAGGACAATCATTTCGCTTCATGCGCTCGACCAAGATAGTCCACTGTTGAACAAAAGATGCCACTATGGTCAATGTTTTCCTTGGTTTCTGCTCTCTCAAATGTGTATATGTATATATGCATGTGAGCACAAGCAGCAGCTCACAAAAATTGAAATTTCGTCGCAGCAAGAACCCATGCCTTCCCTTCTGTGTGAAGAGTATACCGAACTTTTCAAACCGTTTGCCAAGCTCCTACCAAATATTTGCGTTTTCGTTATTATTTGTGGGAAGGGTATGAAAGCGTTGGTGCTCATAATGAAAATGCTTTCGCGACGAGCGTGCACGCACACACTCCCTTGCTACATGTACTATGAGCATTTGTATGCCTGTGTGCGAGGCTCTTGCTGCCTGTAGCAATTTTAATTTTGGAATATCACTTGCAGAAGCATTTGTATGCCTGTGTGCCTTTACATGTGCATGTGTGTAGGCATGGGACGTGAACATTGGCGTGTACCTACCACAACTTAGAATGGTGTGAACGATTTTGGGTTTTAATTGAAGAGTCGCGCTTACATTTAAGTAGCTGACTAACTAAAGTAAAAAGTGCACTTCCCATTACTTTTATAGGTATTTTTAATTGAATGATTTTTATGACATCTAACAGATGCACCTTTTAAAATGGGTCCATTTGGCCAGTATATGTATGTATGTACATACATATGCTTCCTATTAAAAAGTTAAATTTCACCTGTATATGTGCAGGTGCAAGGGATCGAAAATCGCATTCCAATTTGCTCGACTACGAGATCCCCTGAACCCTTGGAGCTATAGCTATTTCAATAATTTTTCGCGTCTTTCAGCTTACACAAGAAACACACACACACACAGGCATACATACACACACACACACATAGACACACACACATACTAATGGCAAAGCGGTGTTGTGGGTATGTGGCAACACAACGAATGTTCTTTCGAATGTTAAGTCATTTAATGGGTTCGTACGTGGCCAATACGGTAGTCTATGGCTCTACAGCTGCTACCTGGCTCCCAGCATGCAGCTCAGTGATTTCACAACGGCGCTTGACGAGCTTGCCGAGGATGCTAGGGGTCGGAAGGCCCTTAAAGCAGGAGATTTTAACTCATGGGCGTTAGAATGGGGTAGCCTCACAACAAATGCCAGAGGCCGTATCTTACTGGAGATTTTCGCGACACTAGATGTTGCACTGCTCAACACTGGCCACGAGTTCACCTTCAGTCGGACTGGATACGGATCTGTAATTGACATTACTTTTGTCACTTCATCCCTCGTTCGGGAAGCAACATGGAGCCACTGCGATAGCTATACGGGCAGCGATCATACGGCACTTCTGTTCACAATAGGTGAGCCACTTGCCAGGGCGTCAACCTTGTGGAGGAATCGTATCGGCTGGATACTTTTGATCCCGCGGCCTTTTCAGAGGCCATTCAGTCTCTGGGCACAATTGGTAATGCTGAGGCCAGAGCATGCCAAATGGTGGCCCAAATACAGAGTGCCTGCAATAGCAGCATGTTACGCCGCAAGCAGTTCACGCGACAACAAGAGCCTACGTATTGTTGGAATGCACAAATAGGTGACATTCGACGCAAATGCATCCAGGCGAGAAGAAGCTATCAACGGGCTCGGGGTAGGTCTACGTTTTTCGAAAAACAATTAGCTTACCAG